CATTTACTTTATTTCTCAAAACATTGGCAAACTCCGTCAGACTCTCGCAGCCCTGACGCAGTGAAAAAAACTTGACTCTTTCTGCAATGGCGATTTTTTTAGTTTTAAAATTGTCCAACAATAGTTTAAAAAGTTCTTCATACTTAAAGTCATTTAAATCATTAGGTCTACAAAGGTTAACCAGTGTGCTTAACACATTTGTACCCAAAGCGTTTATGAATAGCAAGCGTTTGGTTTCATCATCGTTAATTCCATTGAGTTTAAGACCTGTAGTAAACTTAATGTGCCACACATCAATCTCTACTGTGTCCGGGTCGAACAAGTCACATTTAAAATTACAAATACTTTTTTCATTACGAACTTGATCGGTACCTGGATCGTCTTGATGTCGTCTATGTCTACCTGATGTCGGCATTGTGTGAGTTCTAATTCCTCGTCGCCAATAACGTGTATTCACTTATACAATTAAAAAGTACAACTTAGTAAAGCGAAACTTGACTTTAATCATGTAAAAACTAACTGACAACAAAAAGTAAACAATCTTGTTATTTGTATGTAACATATGGTAATAAATAATGTGAACTCTATACAGACCAAAAGCACGAACACTTCAGTATAAATATCCATTCCCAGTAAACTTGGGAACTTTTAAATACAATTGAGCTGGCATGGGTCTTCTTGGGAAGTATCTGCACATACATTTTAACTATCACCCTGTTCCCCAGTACCTACTCCTGCTTCAACCAGATATTTGTAAAATTCTTATGTTCCTTCCAACCATCTCCGAAATGTTCCTTCAATAATGTTTAACGTCTGTCAACTTAGATTGATTTATTATCCTTTTAGGAACTATGACTGCTGGATCCATTGCTTGGTAGGACTGCCCACTTTATTAAACCGAGCCAAATTTTTTGAGGGCAGTTTAGTTCACTTCTCCATGAAATAAACCGTTGTATTGACTCCTGTTAATTTTAAGCATAAATCTTTTGAGAGTATGGAACTGAAAATGCCAATTCGCTGGTTTCTTTTGAATTGGAGTTACAGCTTTTTCCAGTTAAAGTTTTGACAATTTTCACTTCCCAATCGAATTTCTGTGTTATTCTCTTCAAATATCTTAATGTCCTTTTCAGGATTGATGATTTCACTATTTTTCCTTGCAGTCTTTTCAATCTAGCAAATACTCTGCCAGGTGGTAAAAAAGAGTGTCCTACTACTGGGAAGTACAATTCCAGAGTAGGTACATGTATTGGAGCATGAATCAGAAGCCCTTTTGAACCCATTCAAACCACGCGGGTTTTTTATTTTGGCCCCCACAGCCGTCACCAAAGAGACTCACGTTAGTGATATTTGGGGCAATCGGCACTGTTAGTAAATTGCGAAAAACACAACTTGCAATCTCGTTAAAGCCCATTGGGAATTGATTTTCGATCCAGTTATTAATGTAGACGCTATACTTATTTAGCGAGAGGACCCCCTGCACACAGCGAAGTTATAAATGTATAATTGTCTACTGTAATATATCTTCAGCTCATTTCTTCAGCCGTTTCTTCAGTTTCCTCATCTTTTTTCATTCAATTCTTTCTTCCTTTTGTATTACTCTTAGATGATTTTTCTCATTGATGATAAATATATTGAAATAGTTGAAAGTACGGTATGAAAAGTCAAAGTGTTGACACAGGCAGTCCACGATTTCTTCTTCGCTAAGAGGCGGTGTTAATGATTGTAAAGTGAACACACGTTCGATACAAATCTGAAAACTATGTAATAAATATGAGCAAAGTTTTTATACATACAGTATAACCAGGTATAACCAGAACCTCAATAACAAGACTCTCATGGGGCTTATTAAAGTAAGACTTGTTATCAAGGTTGACTTCTCATCGAGGTTTGCAATAACATATTGGTACAGTCAATCCGTATCCAACGTGGACAAAAATGGCGTCCAAGGTATTTTGTCTGAAATTTCTGTTTTTAGGGCGCTGAATCCGAATCTGAAGTAGTCCAGCAGATGTTTCTTGAACTTTCCGAGATATTCGCAAACAATTGCGAAATTTTAGCACTCTTTTAAGTTTTCATGTTATAAGTAAAAAACTATGAATTCTAGCGACTTCTACCCCTATACAAAATGGAAGTTGACAAAATTTCCTTCAAAATGCGCTATTCACACTTGAAAATCCATTAAAAATAACCTCCGCTAGAGTGCATTGAAAATTGGTTATTTTTCTGAATTTAAAAAAATTAAGGTTTTGGTCTGATTTTAATATTACTCAGCCAACCCCTTCACCCTTCAACCCTATAACTATCTCAACCCACTTTGCCCCATCCAACCCCCCCCCCCCCACCCAATGTACTATACCAGTCTTTTTCCCCCATTCTACAGCGTTCTTTCTACTTTTCTTTTGTAGAATGTGATAAATAATGTTAGAGAGGTAAGTTTCCATGGTTATTATTAATATGACAATGCAGTTTTTATCATTGACCCAACGACACTACACCAAAGAATGACTATTATAAAGCAGTCTGAAAACGAGCCAAAGGAATCCTTGAAATTCAAGCTAAGTCCGTATCCTTCGTCATTATTTCAAGAAGGGTCCACAAGGAAAGGAAAGAAATCGAGCCTCTACAAATCTTCCCACCATTTGCCTGGTTCTGAAATACCAAAAGACACCCAAAATGTTATATATGGAGGGTTTCTACTGCACAAGATGGTTTGGGAGAGTAACCTGATTCAATTTATACAGAGTTCTTGAAAATTACTGTCTTGTATACCTTGTACCTTAGGTCTTCCAGGTGTCTGCCGGTTTTCCCGTATAAGGGTAAAAACACAGTGGAGCAGGGCAGGTAGCTGGTAGCCTGGCTGGTCGCTTACTCGCTTAACTGCTGGTTACCTGGAGGGTAGCTGGGACATACACACAGTGGCGCTCAGTACAGTCGCTTGTCAGCCGCCGATACTAATATTATCACTTATAATATTAGTGGTATAGGATAAACTTTTGTTTGAATCCTAGTTCATTCGCTATTTCATTCTTCAGATCGTTGAGTACGTGACGTTTGTGCTTGTCCGGTGGGCTTGGTTCCACAAAGGCACACGGATAATAACCTCTGATATTAATTTGTCTACGTCCATTATTTTATTTCATGTAAAAAAACAACATCCAAATAAATCAACTAAAACAAAGAATGCGCAGTGAAAGATCCCGCGTGGAACTTGCGAACAAGTGGCTGTTAAGTTCTGCTATTTGCGCATGCCCCAGTCGAACCTTCCCCGCTTGCAGCTCTCAAACAATCGACTTGGCAATTCTTCTAGCTTGCCGCCTAGCTTACTGCTACCATGTCGGCTACCTGCTAGGCGCGACTGTGTGCGTACCCATAACAACGCGTGCTTTAATTCTACATCGCAGTAAGCGAGTAAGCGACCGGCCAGGCTACCAGCTACCTGCCCTCCTCCACTGTGTTTTTACCCTTAGGCTGCTAAGAAAGACTCTTCTGCCTCTAACATGGAGTCCTGGTTAAAGGTGAAGTCATGGGAAGGTGTCCTAAAAAGGGCTAGCTGGGAAGACAACTGGGGGTGTTTGTCCAGCACCTTCAAACCCTTAGTCTTCCCCACTAGATTAGATGTTTAGCCCACTGGTAGCACCAGAAGGTCGATACCTTCTCCGACAACAGTGACTTAATTGCTTTGAGCAGACAGATCGATGGCTGTAGTGATGTACACGTGCATGTACATGTGGCGTGATAAGTAGATATAGGAAACGATTTTTATTCCGATCATTCCCCAAGAAATGTCATTGAGAAACATCTGGTTTCATTCCTTTTTCAAACGGCACTTCCATAGAGTGGTTTTTGGTGACACCTGGAAGACCTAAGGTACAAGGTATACAAGACAGTAATTTTCAAGAACTCTGTATAAATTGAATCAGGTTACTCTCCCAAACCATCTTGTGCAGTAAAAACCCTTCATATACAACGTCGTAGTGGTAGTATTTAATAATATGTAATTTCAGATGATGTAGGCAAATCCAATATGTCATTCATTCCATCATTAATTATTCGTCATTAATTCAAATGTTAGTTCACGTTGTGTCCAGTTGACTTATATACTAATTACTCGCCTTTGGCTCGCTGGGGGCTCCGCCCCCAGGCCCCCTACCTGTTAGTCGTCATTTGTAGATTAGAGTTTAGTTTGTACAATGCAGTAAGTAAAACAGTCAATATTAGTTATATAAAAACAATTTTACGAATATATAACAAGAGGTTGGCACGTTAATTTCAAGCTCCAACTTAAAGAAACCTTTTAAAAAATTGTATTTTAAAGTTGCTGAAAGAGAGTATGTTAGTAAAGTATTTTTACAACTGAGTTTTTGGTCAAACGAAGTGATAATACAATTGGGTTTGTAATAGCGAAAATCGATATAGAAGTAATAACCATCTCACGAACATATTATAGTAGATTGATAAGTTTAATAGTAAAGTATTAAATAGTATCATTATGTAGTAAATAGATTATAGTAAATATTCATGTATATATTTATGAAAATAGATGAAGTTATTTTTGTTTCCCTGTCGGTTAGCCACAAACTGTATGGCATCCAGTTCCGCCACGAGGAGGCCAGGAAACGTCGGAACCATATTTACAATTACTTATAAATGTTCAAGTTAGTAAACTTTTTTATAAGATGAGTAGATTGATTATTATGTCGATTGATAATTGAATACGTTGATAATAGTAAATAGTAAAGTATCATATTAAATAAATAGATTATAGTAGATATTCATGTATATATTTATGAAAATAGATCAAGTAATGTTTGTTTCCCTGTCGGTTAGCCATAAAATTTATGGCATATCCAGTTCCGCCACGAGGAGGCCAGGAAACGTCGGAACCATATTTACAATTATTTACAAATGTACAAGTTAGTAAACTTTACTAACTACTTTATACAACAACGGGGACTTTTGATAAGGCAGGCCCCCTATCGTACTGCCGATGTTGTCAAGTCACAACGGGGAGTTTTGATTAAGCAGATCCCCTAGCCTACTGCTAATGTTAAATCAGGTTTAGAGAAGGAGATCGCCATACACGATGTTCTTTGCGTATGCGATTCCATCTCGGACACGTTCGGGGTGTACGAGAACAACAATATGGTCTGGATGTCTGACCCTACTGAGCAAGACGTACAGTTGCCCGTGCGTGAAGCAATCGGTCCCGTAAATCCAACACCGACTGAATCTATGTCTGACCTTGGCTCTTGTGTCCGGTCATGCAATAGGCCAACATCAGTGGGAACTGACGTCGACGAACACGTAACGGCGAACCCTCGACAAACGCAAAAGTAAATGTAATCCGGGGAATTCCGATAAGTTGCGCCTGTCCGGGAAGTCTCACTGTAATCAGGCGGTTGGTGATGCCGATTACAATGACTGTTAGTGCCGTTGACGAGTCCTTCAGCGATGTTGAGGTTCCTCATAATGAGGCAAACAGAGCCGATCTTCAGCCGCAGAACATGGTCTGGTACGCCCTTGCCAGTAGCCGTGGTTCAGGAGTTGAACGTCGACATCCAGGCCATCGTCGTTCTGCTCTGTCAACTGTGTCGGCGCTCCTCAGCTCGTACAGATGACCGTCGAGGGAGTTCAAGATGTGGTCGTTGATCTCCTTGACGTTCACTATCAGAGTCGAGAGGATTGCGCGTCGCGAACACATATCAGAGTCGAGTAAGACGTTTGCGGGAAAAGACGGAATCGACCACATCAGTCAAAGACGTCACTTGTCTAATCCCGAGCAGCGGAATTAGACTGTTCGTTCCGTCCCTCCAAGAAAGTGGTCGAACTGACAGCCCCGTTGCCTACCCTAAGAAGGAATTCGGAATAGGCTGTGGAACTACTAGTCCGATGAGCTGTTGTCAGGGCAAAAATTTTTGAAATGGCTGCCACAGATGGGAAGCCCGAAGTGAGACACAAACAATGTCAGTTGGAGTACGAGCGTTTACAACGACAGGCGCGATCTGGCGAAAGTCACCACAACAGAGGAATATTTTACCACCGAATAGCTCACTGGAACGCATGAGGTCTCGGAGGGATCTGTCGAGAACCTCAAAAACGAACCTCTGTGCCATCGGGGCCTCATCAAAGACAATGATCCTTGCGGCCCTGATGAGCTCTGCTCGCTGGGAGCCGTTGGTGATGTTCCAAAAGCCGGCACCGTCACCGAAGTCGAGGGGCAACCGGAACATGCTGTGAGCTGTAGTTCCACCAGGCATGTTACCAGTGGCGATCCCAGAGCTGGCGACTGCCAGTGCAACCTGACGACAACCTCTCACGTATGCGAGGATGACACGAATCAGAGTGGTCTTTCCGTAGCCTCCCGGACCGTCGAGGAAAATGATTTTCGACAACGTTCCGCTGGCAGGGGCATTTAGAACGGAGGTGACGTACTCAAATACGCGGTTTTGATCTTCAGAGAGCTTTGGCACCCACTCCTCCACAAACACTCTCTGTTGATTTTCACCGTGTAAGAGCAGCTCTCTGCCCAACTCCGTCGTGTCATCGTGTACATCGGGGAGGCCCGTGATCTGCGACGCAAGAACCCTGCCGACGGAGACTCCGATCAATATCGATGAGACCTAGCTTGTAAGCCAGTTCAACATCGAGAGGGTTACGCTCTGTGTGGTTCTCGCAGATGGAATCACGGAAAGCATCCCACAGGAGAGCTGCGGGAGCTCCCATGTTGCAGAGGATCACAAAGAAAGAACGAAGTCTCGGGCCAGTCATGAAAGTGGCGGCCTCGCGCAGCGCGTAGTGGTACTCCTGTTCATCTTGCACTAAGCCAAGATGCCGCGCGACCTCTTGAAAAGTGCGGCAGTTCGGCCCACCGGGGGGCAGGAGGTCGGCATAACCACGGCAAGCAACAGTCATCAGTAGGATACGCAGGTAATACTGTTCAGTCCTGCTCGGAGAGACCCCAAAACAGTCTGCACACTTTCTCGCCGCGCTGGCGGGCCGTGATAAAATGGACGCCGTCAGGGTGCTCGTATATCTTCGCAGTTTTTAGGGCGTTTGACGTGGACCACAAACGTTTCATAAAAACCCTGATATGTCACGTCGTCAAACAGTGAAATACGAGGCCGGTCGAAGTAGATTGTAAGTTTGGAGCTGTTCCTAGCAGCTGCCGCTGCCAGTTTGCCTGGTCTGAACAGGACGGACTGCTTGCCCTCCAGATGGACGGGAAGACATTCAACCGTCGGTTCAGATTCTGATACGAGAAAGTTTAATAAACGCCAGCACGCGTCACTGGCACCCACCATTCTCTTCGTCACGTAATGCTGTACCTCATCATCTTGCTTACTGAAGGGAGTAACTGTGACGTTCTGGAGAGACCCTCCCTTCATAAGATATTTGAAGAGGTACTTAATCACGCGGCGAGTAGACGCCAGCTCCAAATTGATGTGGGCCTCGTATTTCAATAAAAGTGCGGAGTTATACGGCACAACCCAGCCATCGTGAACGCTGATGTTTCCCTTTCTTGAAACAATTGTCCCCTGATTGGTATAATCTCGCTTGTACTGGACGAATCCCCTCTCGTCGACGTGGGTGGTTTCACAGCAGGGCTTGGGGAAATATTTGGTGCAGTAAACCTTTGCAGAGTCCCAACAGAGGAAGTCAGTCCTATGATCATTACCACATGGACCGTGGATCATGTGTTTTAGGACCAACTTCCTCAGTCGGCCTCCGGCCTCTTCTTCCGAGGGAATATCCGCGCGGATGATGGAGTCAATTTCGGACGCCTGAACTGGTCCGTCTCCGTCAATCTTGAAAACAATGTGGGCGTGAGGAAGGCCCCTCATTTGCATCTCGATGACGTAGACGATATAGACAGAGCGTCCAAACATTGCTCCACTGCGCAGGTCTCGGAGAAGTTCCAGAAGTTTGATCCTAAAAACTCTGCAAGCAGTGCTAGGGTCACTGCGAGTACCTCCACGAGGGCAAGCTTTCTTGTTCTCCTCCCAAGTCGCGTTGTACGTAAACGTCAAAAAGAAAGTGGGGGAACCCAGGCGCGATACGATTGCCATAGCGTCTTCGTACTTTACTTTCATGTACCTGGGCCCCCCGGTGAACGAACTTGGGAGGTAGACTTTTCCTGCCTGCACCCCACCCTCGCCTTGGACGGTTTCATCACGAGCGATGTCGTTCAAGACCTGCTGTGCATTCCGAATCTCGTCAACCGGCCCCACCCGCAAGGCACTATCGGTGTTCTTCAGCTGCGTAAACTTAATATAACGCAGTTTCTCCTCCTCGTACCTCGCGAACATCTCAACCTGCCAAGCTTGTGAGAGACGGCCTAGGTGAGAGAAGCGAGGTTCCGAAAGTAGGAGGCACCGCGAGTACTTAAATTGAGTCAGCTTAGCACCCTTGTTGTCAAGACGACCAACGTGCCATCCCACAGTGCCTTGTGGGTAGAGTAGGGGATATTCGAAAGGTTCCATAAGGGGATGTAAAAGGTCAATAAACGTAGGTCTGTCGGAGCCGCATTTCCATATTGTCAGTCTCCGGGGCTCAGTGTCGTTTTCATCATTGCTAAGCACGGCGAGAACAGGGCCATGGGTAGACCTACTTGTTATCTCAAATGCAAAGTGAGCATTTACAGAAGGCTCGTTGCTCAATCGACGGTAGTGCTCAATGTAAGGATTTTCCCTTGAAAGGAAATCAGCAATACCGTCGATGATCTCGGCATCAAGCGATCTACCCATCGCAATGTTACGGCGCTCTTCACCATCGTCAATATACAGGCGGGACCGATTCACAAACTGAACGTTCCCAGAACGAGTGGTGAACTTTTGTCCTGGGGCGTCCAGATTGTAGACCTGGTGGTACATTCTTCCCTCGATCTTGAAAAAAGAAAGACCACTGGGATGACGATACCCGCCTGACACTTCGAGCGCGCAGAGAGCAAACAGGTCGTTGTACGCACGGGCTCTTTCCAAGAAGTGACGATTGGAGTAGAAGAGTTCTTGTAGAGGAGGAAGTTCGAGAACATTGAATGCTCCCTCCCCGCAGCACCATTGCTTTCTGTTCTTCTCCTCCTCAAAGAGCCGTGCTTGGCAATGACGACATCTGTAAATATCGTCCACCCAGAGACTGATTTTCTTCAATTTAAAAGGGTCTACTGTGGCTAATAATTCCCCACTCCAAACAGACATCGGGCCGTTTTTAATTACGGACCGGGCAAGTGAAGCAGGCATATGTTGGAGCTCAGAGAGCTTAGGATTTCGTAGTCGAAAAATTTGAACTCTTTCCGAAGCAGCACCGGGATGACGCAAGTCGTACTCCCTAACAGCCTGACGGTGTACATCAGGGTGAGTTTGGCTGTAACGCCCAACAGCCGCTCTGTTAACTTCGGGGTGGTTTTGAGAGTACTGACTTTTTATCTGCCTGATAAGATCAGGGTGCGTCTCCCTATACCTTTTATTTGCCGCGTCCACTTGCTCTTCCCTGGTCGTGTCTAGATATTTCGGACGTCCGCGTTTAACTTTTTTCGGTCTACCAGGACCTTTGGAATCCTTAACAACTACTTCAGAACCAGACTCTGACAGTAATTGTGCCAAAACATTCTCTGGACATTCAATCGTGTGGACAGTTTGATTAAAGGAAAATTTCAGTTTTGTAACGGAGTACTGTCCACCGACGAACGCAGAATTCACCAATAAAAGGGAGGCCAGAGAATGAAAATTATCACACACAAACAGCCTAGCCTTATTATTGCCCTCATCAATGTCTCGACGACGGCTTTCGTTCACCGCGTGAGAATCAAAGAGGTAGAGCCGCCCTTGGTAACGCCAAAAAGCGACTGCTACCAATTGACCCGTGAACACAAAGCCGCCATCAACAGAGTCGCCGGGCATGGCCGTTTCCAACATCAATGATAAAGAAGTGGTCACATCGTCCGATTCGGCGATGCAACGCGGGTACAAACCATCACCAACACTGGAAATCTCCTCGATGGTTACATGTTTGTCCGCAACCACGAAGTTCCTGGCAAGGTCCTCGGGAAACAGATACCTGTGAATGACGTTATACTCACGGCGTGATTGAGTGTACAAACGGTCGCCGGCCATGAGTATCTCGTCAATAGCATTGGTACTGAATCCACCACAGAACACTTGCCAGGCGAGTGCACAGGCTGAATTAGCCATGCACTGAGCATTGTTGCTGTCGGTGAATCTAAGATCTCCCTGATGGAAAGACCCAGCAGCAATACAATAGTGATCCATACTAACAGTTTAATCGAATAACAAGTTTAGATCGCAAAAATCGGAAAATATAATAGTCCAAATAGGAGCAAGAAACTGGTCGTGAAACTGTAACAGGTATAGTCAAATTTGGTAGCAAAAATAAGAGCGAGAACCAACTCATTATAGTGCATTACCGACTTGTGCGTACTGCTTAACCAAATAATCCGCCATTATAAATTTTTTTTGGTTAAACGGTTTTTAATGTGTATTAAGGCATTTTTCTTTCAATTTTAGGAGCATAATAAGTAGAACTTTATGTCAAAAAAGTAGTTTTAAAATTAAAAACACGTAAAAATATCCAAATTTTGAAATTAAACCTATGTTTTGGGGGTCAAGGAGTAAAGTTACGAAAAAACATTAAATTACTAAAACTTAAAGTAAAGCAAAGTAAATACAAAGAATTAATAATATTTGCATAAATAATTTACTTAGGTTGGGAAAAGTAGTGAAAACGGTAAAAAATTTGAAAGAAAAATTCCAAATTTTGAAAGTAAGGCGGTTTTTGAAGCTGAAGGAGTGCGAATTTCGGAAAACTCATATTAGTGTCTTGTAGAGAATTTAATTCCGAACCTACGATTTTTCCTCAAATCGTTTCTAGCGCTTACCGTTTTCGAGCTGTAGCCGTTTAAAAAAAATGTGTTTTGTCGTTTTCGGAGGTCCGCCATTTTGGATTTTTGGAGGGGTTAAAATTTGAAAATGGGAATTTTGCAAATTTCACCGTTAATGAAGACCCATACTACGTTACTGCCAAATTTCAAGTCTCTATCACGTTTTTTAAACCGTTCAGATGAGCACACAAAAGTCCGCCACTTTTAATGTTTCAACGATCCATAAGAATAACATTAGGCTCAAAAAAGTGGTAAAAAACCTTCAAATTTTGAGATTAAAACTAAGTTTTTGTGGTCAAGGAGTAAAGTTACGAAAAAACATGCAGTGTGTAAAATTTAAAGTTAACTAAGTAAAATACAAAGCATTAATAATATTTGAAAAAAAAAATTATTTAGGTATGAAAACATAGCGAAAACCAAGAAAAATTTGAAAGAAAAATGCCGAATTATGAAAGTAGGGCGTTTTTTGAAGATGAAGGAGTGCGATTTTCGGAAAACGCCAAAGAGGGTTTTGTAGAAAGTTTAACTCCCGTTCATGAAAATTCTTTCAAATCTTTTCTAGCTCTTATGGTTTTCGAGCTATAGCCCTTAGAAAAAAACATGTTTTGTTGTTTTCAGAGGTCCGCCATTTTGGATTTTTAGGGTGGTTAAAATTTGAAAATTTGAGTTTTGCAAATTTCACCGGTAATGTAAGATCCCATACTACAATACTACCAAGTTTCAAGTCTCTAGCACGTTTCTAAGTAGTTCAGATGAGCATACCAAAGTCGGAATTTTTCAATGTTATTTCCCATAAGAATAACATTGGGGGGGAAATTCTTAAATAAGGGGGGGTTAAAATAAAAAATACAACTTTTTAGAATTTTCCCGGTGGTTTGGGCCCAAGACCTAAAAGCGTGCCAAATTTCAACTCCCTAGCTCCTCTGGAAGTGCTCAAACATTAGTATCTTCCGTGAGTCAGTTACATACGCGAGATACAGTATAGTATTTAGATTTCATATGTTGAACAATCAAGATATTTCTGAGATATAAATGCATTAATTAATCAAACAATCATCAAAGCTGGCTCTTAGGGCCTGTGAATTGCGGTAAATTGTCTCCTCTGTATTAATAAATGTGTTCAGTTAACGTATCCAACAAGAACGATTTGGTCAGGAACTTGATTCACATGACCAGGTCACCAAAATGTGGCACCATTATGCCACAGTTGTAAAGTAAATGACATAAACTATAAAAACATAAATTACAGCCCAACAAAAATAAATTAACATACTGTCAGTTTCAACTAAAAGCTTTATTGATACAACAATGTATTATATCTATGAAGAGAACACATTACTTAACTATCAAATAAAATACACAGGTAAGCCTCGGTAACGAAACTACGTCACTCAATGGTTTTATATCACAGTCTTTGACTCGATAGAATTTCTACACCCGGTACAATGGTAAGGTTGTAAGTAACTCGGGGGCTTGTGTCGTACAAATCGGACAATTTTATTTAACAGAGTTTGAGGCTGTTTGAAGGATGAGGCACTTGAGAAACAAAGTAAGACAAATCAACGATTAAAACTACAACAAATATACATTCAATCTTACACTTAGAAATATTGCAACAATGCACACCTAGTATGTAAGTGCTTACAATCACAATGGCACCGAAATAACATACTCATAAGACACTAATTTTTTATTTTTTTTTTATGGTTACCTCGAGTGGCGATCTTAACACCTGAGTTTAAGGTTGTGACATTCAAACAGTGGTCTAAACTACATGAAAATGATAATACAGTACATTTTGGGAATATCTAGTTTAAAAGGGTTAACACTGTTTTAGCGAGTAGATTTGTGAGAAATCTAACGTACTGAGTGAATTAAGATTAAATCTAAAACAGAGAATAAAATATATGAGAGTGGGGAGACACTCCGCAGCATAAATAACAATAAAACTCAAACTAAAATAATATAATAAACATATCAAATACTACTTTGAGACAACATCAGTCTTGGGGGAATCTTTGATATATAAATATTTAAACACACAAAACGCAGGAATGCTGACTTGGAATATACAGACCTGCGACCGCCCGCACATTTACCAACGCTCCTAGGAACAACATTAACATTACGAATCTCAAATCTTTCTCGAATAAATAAAAGCCACAAGACTAACATAACAACAAACTAAGTATTTCATACGCTCTATTGCCATCTTGGAAAATGGCGGCCAATTTTCACTTTTTTGACAATATTTCACAAACCATTGGTATTAGAGAATTTTTGTAAATGCAAAAGTTAAAGAACGTCTAAAAATACATCTTTTTTATATTGCAAGGTTTGCTCTATCTCTAACGGTTATTGATTGAGATAAATAATAAAAGTAAGTATTAAATTTAAAGTTCCCATGTTATCCTTATGGAGGAAAATAAAATTGTTGCAGTTTGCCTATTTATGGATATATTTTGATCAAACTTGGCAAATGTATTTATTTCATACTAAGCTAATGATATTTAATATAAATGCACGCTTTATTACTCTCCCCATAGCAGTAAACCTAGTACTTGTTAAATTTAACCGTTTTTAAATAGGGAATCTATGTTACATTTTATTTAGGATATACAGGGTGAATTTTAAATGAGTTCCCCCCCCTACTTTTTTCTACGTTTCTTAAGATATCAACTTCGGACCACGTCAGATCATTGTAGTGTAGTAAGTACTTCATTTTGACTGGGTAAAAATTTTTGGCCGCCATCTTGGATCCGCTATATTGGATACAAATTTTTTTTTCAAATATAAAGGTAGGGTTGTGACCCATTGTTTCAAACTAGAATTTTACGCTGATTACAATGCCGCAATTAGTTTTTAAAAATCTTTATCTGTTCTAAAGTTATGAGGACTTTTTATAACTTTATTTTTAGCCTATTTTAACATTGTGCATTTACAAACTAAGACCATAATCTCAAAATAGTGCTAGATAAAGATAAGTATACACCACCATTCATTGTCGACCTATTATCACTTGGTTATGACGGATGTATTTTTTCGGCCGCCATCTTGGATCTGCCATTTTGAAATGTGACAAATTAATTTAAATATGAAGGTGGTGTTGTGACCAATCATTTCAGACTACTTTTTTATGCTGAATTTAATACCGCAATCCGTTTTGCATTTTCATATTTTTTTTTTTATATTAGAAATTTAAGTAAGATAATTTTAATATTTCATCAAGAAAGCCTGAAAAACGAAAACGGATTGCGGCATTGAGTTCAGCATAAAAAAGTAGTCTGAAATGATGGGTCACAACACCACCTTCATATTTAAATTAATTTGTCACATTTCAAAATGGCAGATCCAAGATGGCGGCCGAAAAAAATACATCCGTTAATTTTAAACTTACTACTAACTTTTATTATTTATCTCAATAACCGTTAGAGATAGAGCAAACCTTGTAATATAAAAAGATGTATTTTTAGACGTTCTTTAACTTTTGTATTTACAAAAATTCTCTAATACCAATAGTTTGTGAAATATTGTCAAAAAAGTGAAAATTGGCCGCCATTTTCCAAGATGGCGGCTGAAGCACAGTCGGGATTTATGGGGACTTTTGATATTTTATTTATTTAGGCTTACTAAACAACTGTACAACGTTTCCACTTAGTCCGAATTTGTTAGGTCGAATGGCACTTTTATCCCTAAATTTCTTGGACTATTATCACATTCTGCAAAAGAAAAGTAGAAAGAACGCTGTAGAATGGGGGAAAAAGAGTGGTATTGGGTGGGGGGGGGGGTTGGATGGGGCGAAGTAAGTTGAGATATTTATAGGGTTGAAGGGTGAAGGGGTTGGCTGAATAATATTAAAATCAGACCATACCCTTAATTTTTTTAAATTCAGAAAAATAACCAATATTCAATGCACTCTAGCGGAGGTTATTTTTAATGGATTTTCAAGTGTGAATAGTGCATTTTGAAGGAAATTTTGCCAACTTCCATTTTGTATAGGGGTAAAAGTCGCTAGAATTCATAGTTTTTGACTTATAACATGAAAACTTTAAAAAGTGCTAAAATTTCACTATTTTTTGCGAATATCTCAAGAAATATTTGTTGGACGACTTCAGATTCGGATTCAGCGCCCCAAAAAACACAAATTTCAGAAAAAATTCCTAGGACGCTATTTTTATCCACTTATGGTTGATTTTTACAACGGATTGACTGGACTATATGACTAAGGGTAAAATAATAGATTAGAATGGCTGCATTTTACATGTTAAATTATTTCACTATCAGGAGCTATTGATTTTAAGAGGGATGACAAATAGAGCTTAATTATGTTCAGCTAAATAAGCACAGAGTTTATTTAGTACATTTCTGCTT